GGCAAGGCTGCAGGTTCCCTATCATTTTCAACAAAATCCCAAAGATCAAACGCCCTTAGGTAGGCCTTCATCTTCACAGACCAAGCAGAGTAGTTTTGGCCTACAAAGTATGGAGTTTTGGGTGTGAAATTAGAGGATTCCATGGTTGAAATCACTCCCTCACGTGTTTACACTCAGACGACACGGTCCCTCCAAGAACAATAGTGCTCTGATACCAATTGTTAGTTTGTAAACAAAGAGATGAAGATCTGGTAAGTGCAAAACTGAAATTTTCCATTGAACAAATCTGCTTTTTACAAGGAAATAAAGAAACTACTAAAAACTGAAAGTTAACTGCACTACAATGGAAAAACAAACTAGATTAAAAACCAACTAATAACTGCTACAAACTGAAAAAATAATGTGATAGAATTTGTGTCACTGTCTTTACATTGCTGTTTTTCACCCGGTATCTAGGCAGAAAGATTTTGATTTTGATGAAAGCTAAGGGGCGAAGGCGGCAGCTCCCGACCGCCGGTCATTACTTCACCGGTGGACCCTCAAAGCAAATTTATGGCAAAAACAGTGCATCCTTTAGAATTTTGAAACACGATATAGAATCGCAGGAATGGGAGAAGAGGAGGAAAAGAAGAGGGTAGTGGTGGAGTCACTGGGATGGCAAAAGGAGTCATCCATCACGCCGAAGAAGCACCGTGCCATCGAGGGTGTAGGTGCCAGCACCATCCTAGAACTCAAGGCCCAGCTTTTCAAATCACAGGAGGAATCTAAGAAAACCAAGGAATTGAACGACCCTGATGTCGAATACCTCCGCGCCAAGAGAATCACCCCTCGTGATAACTTCTCCATCAAGAACTCCGGCGTCGAAGCCCGTGCCCTCAAGTACGTCCGTTTCCCCATGTGTTGCTAATTAGCTATGGTTTGTTTATTCGTCCCGCTTTCCCCTCGGTAGTGGAAAATGGGAAAACATAATAGGCAATTTTACATTGAAAAAACGAAATTGATAAACCCAATGAGAATGGTCTTTTGCAGCCGGTCATGCCCTAAGTACGGGGCCACCCTGCATCAATGGTTATAAGAAGTGCAGTTTGTCCAGACTTGTCTACTTTTTTGGGTGATTTTGGATCCATGGACAAGCCTGAGCTGAGTTGAGGGCAGTTAATGATGGTTCAGCCAGTTATGCAGCTTTGGAAAGGAAAGCTGAGTTGTATGAAAAGCTTGTGAGAAGAGAGTTATCTGATGAGCAAGACAAAAGGAGGTATTGTGTCGACTTCATCCGGAGGGGTGTTCCGCAGGATGGGTCACAGCAGTCACAAGCTCAACTTGCTTCTCCTACAGAACCATTAGATGAAGATGCTGACAATGATACTTCATTTCTATTTAACACGAGATCCTCAGGGGCGTTGCAAACGGATGGGATGGG